GAGAGAGAGAGAGAGAGAGAGAGAGAGAGAGAGAGAGAGAGAGAGAGAGAGAGAGAGAGAGAGAGAGAGACCTTTGGGGGGAAACAGGGTAGCTATTTTATTTACACCATTTGTTACCGTCTCAAACTATTTGACAGATGGTTAACAGAGCCCCTAAATTTTCAGCGGTCTCGCACTGATTCATGGATTTTATAACAAAGCCCCAAAACCTTGTAAGCCAAATTCGCACCCATCCACAGAGTCAGTAAGCACAATTTTTTTTTTAACCCAAGACCCTAAGGCAAAGAACATTCTTTGTCCAGCGTCTGTTACTTTGGGTTGGAGACACCCAAATTGATGAGCTCAAATTGGGGGGCACCGCCTGTTGTCAAAGCTATGCACTGGGAAAGGACCAACCCTTGGTCAAAAAACCCCACCATCTCTAGGAGGCGCAGTTGAACAGGTTAGTGAATGTGACATCACAGGAAGTAGATGCAGTCAATCCGGAATGCAAGAGAGCGTTTTCAAACGCATGGCGTCTGAATAAGAAGATCGCCAGCTGTAATTGCAGACATATACATCCATGGAAGTCCTAGTGTGGTGAGTACACTCTTTATACTCCATTTTCTCTTTCTGCTTCCCTACAGTTCATCCATACATTGCCAAGCCATCCCAGCATTTTTTGTTTGCTCATTCGTTTGTCCCAGAAAAAAAGCTTCATCGTGCATTTACTTGTACACAAGCAAAAGAAAGAGTAATAAAACTAAATTGCTAGCAATTGAATTAACACACAATTTTAGACAAAAATAGCAACATTTACTTGTACACAAACAAAAGAAAGAGTAATAAAAATAAATTGCTAGCAATTGAATTAACACACAATTTTAGACAAAAATAGCAAAGGCACATCCACATTGACAAAAAAAGATGGTTGGTTAGACGATCGCCAGTCCCCTCCCTCTTTCTAGCTCCAACGACCATCTGGAGTATCCTCCCACATTCACCCGACGTAACAACCACTACCTCTCCCCGGCAAACTTAAACTTATGCGACGAGGTTGCCCACCACTGCAAGCTTCGGATGAAAAGTGCTACTGGGCCAAAATGGCTGGCCGGACCAGCCAAAAAAGAGGAAAACAGTTCAAAACACACCCACGGTGGTTCGCTTCTTGTTTGGAGTGCAGTGGAAATCGTCGGGAAAAAGAGCCCGGAGGAAAAGGCCGTCTAAAAATAAATGAATAAAACAAAATACATACATAGATAAAACAAATGCAAGGAAGCCGCTCAGTGACCCCAACAGGCGAAACTCAAATAACAAGCACCACAAACTCTCTCTCTTGGCCAACACGCACGCAGGAACAATGCAAGTACCAGAACTGAAAAAGCAAGGATCACACAAGCACAAGAATTCACACTGTTGACGTCATCGATGATGAAAGCCCCCTTCATGCCTTCAACAGTACAACAACAATAATAGTTCTTTGTCCTCGCTGGTCTCCGCACCAGTCCGAACGACCACCTACTCCATCAACTTCTCTATGCTAACTTTATGCCATCATGCCACAGAGTACCATGCCGCTTCCATGTACCCCGCCGGAGCCCGTCTCAACCGCCACCCGATAAGTACCCCGCCTCACTTCCCTTCTCCATGGTCTTTCTCTAACGCCGAAGATATCCCCTTGTCATGCTGCCTGTTCGTCTTCCTCTCAGTAACCCAACACTACTACAGCACCGGTCGTCCTCCTCAGTGCAGCCATGGTTGCCGCTCGACTGGTGCTGGCTGCTGCCCTTCCCTGGCTGGCACCAGTCAGCTTCGCACTCAAACAGCATGACGACATCCTTCACAGCACCAAAACCCTGAGGCGCTGGTTTTCTCTCTCTCTGCCCACCCACGGCTGGTGCTGGCCTTCTCTCACATCCCAGCTACGGCTGTTGCTGATCTGTGAGCAGAAGCCACTACTTCTACTGTTGCCACTCACATCGAGCACCCAGCGTTCTTTCGGTCAAACTTCCTCCACCAACTGCGGCTTTCACCTGCCTGCCCCCTGTCGGCCAAAAACCTTCCTCCGACAATGGCGACTTTGACCTGCCCCCCGACCTTCCTTCACTTATGTCGGTCTTCTGTCCGACCAGTAGGTAGGTGCAGTCTACCGGGTCCTGGACAGCCTGACCAGGGGCGCGGTACCACTAGCAAAGAGGCTTGGATAAATATCCTCAATCTGGACATGTTTTAAGCAGAGATGCAGAAAAGCAGTTCAATCTCGACATTCTGCACCTTTCCACAAACAGGTCCAGATTCAGGTGTTCAATCCAATCCTCTTTGCTAGTGGGACCTAGCCCAGGCCCAACCATTGACCTGACCGGGTGTAGTCTATGCGTGTGCAGTCTACTGGGTGTATTCTATCCGTGTGCTCCTTTGAGCCTAGACTACACCAGCAATGTGAGGGGCATGAGTCGAAATAGTTTATGTTGCCCACGGCTGTTAGAATTCTGAAACCGTCAGAGACATCTCTTTAATTTGTTTTCACTGTTTTTTCCCGAAGCTTCCCACACAGAGTGCCGCACGGGTAGAGTGCCGCCCTTACCCCTACCCTTACCCCTACCCTTACCCCCATGCTACTGGGGAACCGAGCCCCAGAGCTCCAATCTCTCCTACCCCCCCC